TTTTGTTTTATTTATTATATAAACAATATTTATTATGATTATACATCTTTTATAAATCAAAATCTTGTATCAAAATTTTTTCCTCTTAACTCAACATAAATATTACATAGGTAATTAAATTTGTTTCGATACGAGAACAGTTTAAACTATTGTTACTCAACTAGAGAAAATTAAACATTATTTTTGATAAAAATACTTAAATAAAAATAATTATCTTTGAATATCTACCTCGTTATTTAGGAAGAACTTGAATTATTTCACTTGACAAGGATCAACCAAAATTATCGGGTCAACCTTAAATCGATTGTTTTCTTGTAATCTGCGTCTTCTTCAGATGCAGTCTTAAGAATTTTCCTTCTTTATCTAAAAGATTATACATATTTCAATAGTAGATGATCAAAATTGAAAAAAAAATTTTTTTTCAGAAAACTGGTATAAATCTCATGAATTTATCCTTCACTAAAAACCGAATAAGACAATATTGTTAGTATTACTATTAAATTAGAAAACATATAATACTTTCGAAATGGCTGACAGAAAACTTTTTTCAAACTTTTCTTTTTTACTAATCGTAATTGATATTCAAGAATAATTATTCTCTATATATTCATTGATAAAATTTATCTGAATTATTAAATAAATAACTATGGTGTAATTCAAATGACCAATGCACTTACAACTATTTGCTGCTTCAACATTTTTTTTTTTATTCTTATTTGTATTTTCTTTTGTTGTGTTTGTACGACGAGCACGATGACGAATTGGTGATATTATAATATCTAAAAGATATATAATAAAGTTACAAAAACAATTTTTTATTATTTTTTAATCACTTACTGCCATTTCTAAAGTAAAAGATAATTTAAAATGTTTTAGAATTGTCTGAGATTGAATCTGATGAAATTTTTTTTAATTCTTTTTTTAAAGATTTTTTGACCGTAGTTGAATTGCCATTAATAACCATATTATATTAGGATATTTACGTCCAATTCTCTTTTGTATACTTTTTCCATACTAAAACTGACGATAATATCTAAAAAAAATTTTTTTTGTATATATAAATATAAATAAAAATTATTTGAATAATTGTTATGATAAAATAAAACATGTATATATAAACATGTATATATATATATGTATATATACGTCAACATTTTCGCTTGATAAATTTATTGTTCATCATTTTGGTTTGTTATACAAATCATTCAATTATTCACCTGATTATATTAAGCGAATAGAAATTAATCAATAAATATATGGAGATTGTTTGTTAAATTAAAATAAATCATTCTTAAAAATTTTATTTATTTTTATTTTTAAATAAAAACTTTATTTTCGTTTTTTTATAGATGGCGCTATACTACAACTGTCTCTTTAAGTATTTTGTGAATAAGTTGGGGTGTGGGTGTTGGTCGTCTCTTTCATCTGATCCACATCCACATCTCAAGATAGAACAACTATCTAAACTTTAATCAAGTAACTTGAAAAATAAATCAATACCATTTTGAATGATGAAACAAACACTCATTTTGATGTATTTTCAAGTTCAGTGATTGAAATGGCCATTTTTATCAATTAAAACCTATTATTCTGATTCAAAATCACCGTCATTTCATTTCCTTCGTTAAAATGCTGCTTTTAGTCGACGAAGTTAAAGAAAATATTCCATCGGAAATTGTTTGCCCGATTTTGATGATGTTGTGAGCAACATCACAATAGAATATAGCCTATTAGCGGATCGAAAAGCTCTACACGCTTAAGTTGGAAAGTTCATCTTCAAACTTTAGATATCAATAAATGTTTTCTTGTTCCAAAATATATTCTTGGCCACTAGCTAGCTCACTGTATGGCCAAAATTGAAAGAAACATTTTCATTGTGAAATGTGCAAACTTTTCCACTGGTGTAACTGTATTAATAAATTTTGACATAGAGAGTATCGTACTATGTAGAATGGGCACGATGGAGTTCTAAAACCTTGAATAATTTTGTGTTTTTTTAACAAGCAATTCAACTTCTTGAACATTGATTTTATTTGTAGTTCAAGAGTTCTAGGCTAATCAAACTTAAAATAATATCGGGTATTTGCTCCCAAGCACATTGGCAAGTACAGTAGTGATCTATAAATTTTATTAAGAAAATAAATGTGTGTAAAAAAAAAATTTCGTTCGGGTCTGAGCCGAGCCGGGCCATAAAAATGTGGCCCGTTTCGAGTCCTGAAATGTAAGCACATTTTGAACTAGTCCAGGCGTGATTGAAGGACATTCATCGTAAAAAACAACCAGTCTTGACAGACATGTAAGGTGTTTCAGGCTATATCTGACGGATTGAGCGAACATTTTAGACTAGAGATATAGAACGGCTTCACTTATGTTTTGCTTGTCCTGGAATTGAAGTTGTTTTTACTCATATTTAGTTAATCTGGATCAACATTGAAAATGTATATCACTTTTAATCTGACGTATAGAAGTATGTCGATACATCGCAAGGATTAAACAACAAAAAATGTTGTTCTTTTCAAATCTAATAAATACTTGATATTTTGAGGTGTTTGTCAATAAATTAATTCTAAGAGATGATGCATATGCATATTGAGAATCCACATCTGAATCAAAAGCTTGAATTATTTTCGCTTGTATCGTGTTCTAACAATATCAATCTGAACGATGACGAGACAAAAATTATTCAAGCAACTCTTCGAGAGTCAATTAATTATTTACAATTATTTAGCAACAAATAAGACTGTATTACATACATCGAAAATATAAAAAGGGGTGTGGGTGCGGATTTTCGATTTTTCATAGCCACACACACGCACACCCACGCTCCACACTCCACACTCACACCCCACACCCCACACCCCACACCCATACCCCACGCCCCACACTCACACACCCACAGCCCACACCCACACCCTTACATATTCCAATGGTTTTTCTTATACTAAAAATGAACAGTCTACGTTTTTGTAGAGCCTTTAATGGTACATCTTTTAAGAAAAAACTTAACTTTCTATTATTTTCTCAAGCCGATATATATGCAAAACAAAATAGTCGTCCGAAAATTTTCAATATGATGAGAAATAACACTGACATCTACGTTGTTTATTTTAAGCATAATAAAAGCTATAAGAACAAATTAAAAGAATTTCAACTATATAGTTCTTAGCCAGCTTTTTATGGCGCATCTTTTAGAACAAGTTTCAAAATTTTATCGTTTAGCCAAGCTGAGATATATGCAAAATAAAAAATATTACAACATTATGGATATCTTGTAGTAAAAAAAAAAAAGTTACTTTTTTTCTAGTACATCTTTTACATTTTAATCTGTATTTATTATCCAAGATAAATATACAATTAGATGTAGCACAGTTTGTACTTTCTGGCTAAATAAATAATGTTTAAAAAGAAACGGAATGTGACGACAAAAAGAAAAAAATACCAAGGGGAAAATTCATTTGATTCTCACTCAAAAAAAAAAAAAATCTTCTTTGAATTACAACTTCGGGAAACCTTATTTTTTCCTCTTTTGGTTAGATCATCTGCATTGAGCTGCTAGTTAAAATAAAATCATACTATTTATTGAATTTTTTATCTCTGATTTATTTATTTAAAAATAATTAGCATTATATACAACAAAAACATAAACAAAATCTATTCGAAACAATATAATTATTACCACCATAAATGTATATCACGATTAATATATTTAATAGAATAATCATTGAGTAAGTTCTCTGATTTAATTAAAACCTTTATTTCTTTTAGACATACCTTTGGTATCTTCAAAACACATAAATAGCATAAATTTCGTGTTTTATTGTGAGCTTTTGATAATAAAAATCGAATTATTTGTCCTATTTCTTTTCTTTCCATTCGAGCTTTGAGGCATTTTAATCTTGGAAATAAAGACACAATAAATTGGATTTCACTTAATGAACACCTCAGATTAAGAATTAAATTTTGTATTTTATTTTTCTTTAATACATATTGACAAATTTCTTTTTGTTTATTTGAATTTATATTAAAATCATCAAGAATATATAAATTCAAGCTTAACGTATGTACATTAGGTGTAAAACGTAATAAATTGATAATGTCTTCCATTGGAAATAAATGAGACTCAATAACTAGTTTGGTCAGTTGCCTTAAAGGAATCATACGATGAAGAATTGCAATAATCGAATCACCTGATGTTTTAAATTCATTTTTAATAGATAATTCATTAACATTTGGAAAATAATTCACACAATTACCATAGATTTCTTCACTAGCAATATAAAGATGTTTAACTGAATCAAAATTTTCTTTTTGAATATTTGAACATATTGGACCGACTGACTCCCAATAATACGTATAATCTTTTCGTCTAAACAGAAAAAAAAATAGAAATAAAAACTATGTTCAATCTATAAAACTAGTCGCGGTAGCCTTTTTCTCTCGAATAATCTGAGAAGAGAATTAATTAACAATATGCGAGTTTCGCCATATCGATAAGTAATTTATCCATCACATGAAATTTATGGTATCTGATATTCTAAAGCTATTTTTATTTCCACATATCAATTTTAGTAGGACTGTCGGATAGAAAAACTCTTGCATTAGAATATGTAGGCTAGACCAACATTCCTATCTGATTTTATTGACCTATGATCACATAGAAAAGTATATACACAAGAGTAATCAATCATCCTAAACCGATTTAGTGATACTATTTGTTTTCAAATCTGAAATAATGTGACTTTTGTTATCAGAATGTGCCTAAAACTCCACGATCAACCGATTTTCCGTAGACTGAAAGGATACGGTCTAAAATCGGAAATTCACCTATGTCTGTCTATTTGTAACACAGTGGTTAAAATGACCATTTTATATTATTAAACACTTGGTTTTATCAAACATCTTTCCATGACAACTCAAGCCATTTTTTACATTTTTCTAGCATCACTCTTAAAGAGTGCTTGTATCTAGAATTATACTTATAAACATAACTCGATGCCTTTAGTCTAGCATATGAGTGTATTGATTCTCGATGCACGTTACTTGTGTATAACAGAGAAAATGTTTAAATTGAGATAAATATGACTTCAGTACGTTGAAGTCTATACTGATCCTCTGTTTACTGAATTGCTGACCATTTATTTTTCAATAAACTTTGATAGCCTTGCATCTTATCTGTCGAATGACAAAAGTTGCAACCCTCAAACTCTATCTGTTCTGTAGTTAATATAAAAATATACACGAGTACTACTTTTCTTTATGAATAATAATTTCTCTTTACCGATATGGCGTGGTTGAATAAAGAATTCCACTACCTAATTGATTCTTCTGATCATGTTGATGTGTAAAAAACCATTTTTTTTCCATCCAAAACGAAGAATTAAACTGATTAATTATGTGATGATATGTGAAATTATTCTTCCCAAAATAATCTTCATGATTTATATCAAATATACGTAAATATGGCATGTAGGACATTATTAATTCCTGCCATCGTTTAGCATTTAAACATTCTGTATCCATATGTGTTGTAAGACGTAAAATTTGAACGCGATAAAAAAATTCTTTGATAATCTTTTCAAATTTATGAAAATCTATGAAATCAAATTGAAGAGAAACGTATTTTAAATCTTTTAATTCAATATGAGGTAATTTTTCTTGTTTCACATAATAATAAGGTTGAACAAGACAATTTATCGATAAATGTTGAAGTTTAGGAAGACGCCATAATAAATTCTTGAATCCATTAAATGGAAAACGACCATTTATTATTAAACATTCAATAGGACTGAAATCACGATGAGTAAAATTAAGTTGAACTGGTTCATCTTCGAGACGTTTGATTTCATATTCAATTTTACAATATTTTAATTTTTGTAAATGAAAAATATTTGAAAAAATAACATCTAATGATTGATTGTAATCAGTAAGAGATATAGTTAATGAATGTAATTTTGGCAACTCTATTAAATGACGAAACACTTTAGTAAAATATCTAATTTGTACACTATCCAGAATTAATATTTCAAGATGACCAAAATTTAAAATAGTACGTGGTGGTGCAAAAATAATATCAACAGTAAATGGATTTGATAAACGAAGTAATTTAATTCGATTTCGATTTGGTATAATAATATTTTGATAATAATCTTCAAAATTTGATTTTGATATTGTTGAAATGTTGATTTTAGTTAAAATATTTGAATTAATAGCTAGATTTTGAAATCGTTTACTAAGATTGTAAAATCCTTTATAAATATCATAAGGATCAAGATATCCAAATATTTCATAAAGAATCTCATTTGGTAAGTCTTCAAGAAGATATCTAAATAAAAATAAATGATTATTATTTATATGATGAAAGAGATATATCTGACTTATTTGAATTGATTACTGTTACTGAAACAATAAAAAGAGAAAATTAGATTTGATAAATGTTAACATGAAATATTACTTTGATTTTCTAATTTTCGTTTTTTATTGCTACTTGAAATTTGAACTAGGTCATTGTGTTGCCGTTTCGTTTGTTTCATATTTAATATAGTTGGATAACGATGACACTGATCGAGAATGTCGTTTTTCGATCGATGATGAGTTTATATACAGATGCAATAATAAAGACATAGTCTTTTTCTTTTCGGCGTCTATTGAACAGAGTAGGCAGAAAGAAAGATATTTTATCACATTGACGACGACTCGTTGACTACGCACAAGTGAACAAAGACCATCGGTGACATGAGTCATGTCTTTCCAGTGGAAAGACAATGGATTTTATGATAGTTAGAATAACTTTTTCATGGCGATAATAAAACGAATTTAAGAAGAAATAATTATGGAAGAACTACAGAAACTTATTTATATACTCCAGATGTATTAAATTTTATTGACCATCATTTTATCGTAATTTTAGCCTATGGTTTAATATATGCCAAGAAAGTGAATGACGGTATTTCGAGCTTAGACTACAAGCATAGAAGTAAGTCTATCATAGAGTAAGATATTCGAAAGTCAAGTGGAAAGCTGCGCGTCCAAATAATTCATGTTTGTCGGTTCCGTATTTTAGATTTATATTCAAGCTCGGTTTATTTTCAACTACGAATATCAATATAGAATAGCTGAAGTCAACATGTCATATTTGCTGTCTTTCTTCTCAAAATTTGATTATTATTTAATGCATTAATTAAAAATTTAGAATTTAGGTATGGGTATATGTTGATACTTGCCTTTTTCCATCTACACCCACACTCTTCAATGAAGAACATTTTTGTTAATTAATTTTTCAATTTCATTTTCGGTTGGCACAATACTTTTTGGAGCTAAGCAAAAATTTTAATCAATAGGGCGGCACATGTGGAAAAATGAATAACAAATAAATAACTGTGAATCGATTTCTTTTTGTGAGAGTAGCCAATAAATAGTTGAAACGTTGATCCTTCATTTGTTCATCTACCCAGAAAGTATGAAATGTTGATAAAGAAACTCACGGACCTAGATTTGACTAGGTCCGATTCTATAAAAACATGGACTCGCAGCTCTCTACTAATATTCCTATTAAGCTAACAAGAAAATATTAGTATGCAAAAAAATCTATAAAAGTCACGACAGGCACAAACAAACTAAAAGGGTTTATAGCCTGTTATAGGTCTGCTTGATTCTCTGGTTCTTTGATCTAGGGTTAAAAAGACGTGCCATTATATCGACAGAAATATATGAAATTACATTAATAAAAGAAAAAACTTGTGTTTGATGCACTCTTAACAAAACAACAAAAGAAATAATTGCCAGTAGTTAAACTAACTGCGTCACATGTGACGTTATGTCAATGTAAATATATTGCTGATTGCTATAATCAATGTGTTCAACGTTTTTGAAAATAATTGAACTTCTATTGTTTTTATCATACTAGTAGAAAAAAAAGAATTCTTTCATATGTATTCGATCAACTTTAGTTCCTTTTCATAAACAATAGAATATTTATCTTACTGATGGGTTAATATAGAACGAATTAATACTAATTTTATTTCTTCTAAGAATATTTTCGTTTACTTAAAACATTTAATCATTTTTGTTTTGTATTTTTCCATTTGGTGGATTAAAAAAGAATGATTAAGACAATATTAACCAAATCGATTTCTCTCAAAAATATTGAATGTTTTGGATATAATTTTATTGAAATTCCAGAGCAGAATAATTCAAAAAGTGGCCAATAGAAAAAAAAATCCGTTAAGTCTTTTTTTGTCTCTTTCATTGTTTGTTTTAATAAAAAAATTTAAAAGCGTTTTTTTAAATAAAATATTAATATGATGATCCCATTTCGTAGAAAATATTTTATTAACAAAATCAAATAAATTTGATCTGAAAAGTGAAACATTTTGTAATTCATTACATAACATTATTTTCATTGTATTGGCATTAATAAATTAGCTTTTATGCTTATGGTAATCAGTATCAATGTGAATCAAAAAAGAGATCTACAGTCACAATCAATCTCAGTTCCACTATTACAGATAAAGACGAGCTTCAATAGAAAGAATATTTCAGAAAAAGAACAACAAATATAGATATTATCAATTTTTTATGTTATTCTTAATAACGCTTATCAAATAACCGCCAAATTTTCAAGGAAACTTCTGATTTTTTTAATAATCTGATAGAAACAGTTATCTTACAAACATACCAGTTTATCACATACGAACAAATCTATTCCTTCAATTATTCTCAAAATAAATCTTTATCAATTTGTTATTTATTATTTTTTTGTAAACGAAATTAAGATCTATAAGAAAAGAATCACAGTTAGTAAAGACAATATTCTAATTCAAGAATAAAGTAAGCTTCATCAAAAAAGAAGTAATCAACTACGAAATCATGTTTATCATCTAAATCATTCGAGTGAATAATGATCCTAGAAAAAAATTTATTAAATCTCAAAGGAGGTGGGACGATAAGGGCATTTTTCTCCCCAAAAATTTTTTGAAAAAAAACTGCATGGCCATAATAAGTCGTTTATGGGCTACAACGTGGGCATATTTATTTATCGTAGTTCGACATCAAAAATTTTTGCACCTGTACCCCCCCCCCCCCTCGGGAAACCTTGAAAAAATTTTTTTTTTTTTTTGGTCAAATACATGTCATAATATAGAGTCAACAGTGCTGATCACGAATATGAGTGTAGATTTTTTCCGGAGTCTTTTAATAAGTCAGAACGTGAGATTTTCGATTATTTCGATCCTAGGTAAAAATGCAAGGTTTTCTCTTGTTTTTGAGTCCGTTCTCCCTTAATTTAGCGTTCGAAATTTTTTAAAACATGTTTAAAATATGTAAGCAACTATTCTCTATTCAATAGTGTAAAAATAACAGCATGTAAATGTACGAAACAAGTTTTTAGTGTCGAATTGAGAGCAGAAATACGTGGTAAAAGAGATGGGTAACTCTTTTTGAAGCGATACCACTTTGCCAGAATACCGTGTCGCTCTGTAAAAATGATACAGGTTGGTGCAGTTTTTTCCACTCTATCCAAATATGTCTTTTAAAGTGAAAAGAAATATGTCTTTTTGTGAGCAAATGGCCATTTTTCACGAAAAAGTTGTATATTTTCGATCACCTTTTCACATTTCTCACATGCTATGAGTCAATAAATACGTTCAATCAACACAGTTAGTGTTCCATTAGATGGAGCATACTTTGTTACCTACATCAAAGTATTTTTGCCATGATTTAGAGTATTCTGTGGGTGTAGAAGGGACTTCAAAAGTTAAACAATAATAGCCTATTTTTTTCTTACGCATGAAGATTTTTTAAAGTCGCCCCTCGCTTTCTAAAGTAGTTTCTGGAAGAATAAAGGAGCTTTTCATGATTAGTGCCAAAGACTTCAGCTGATAGCATCTATTTCACTAATAATTATTCAAAGCAGTTTTTCAAGTTCTCGAGGGCTGGAGGGGGGGGGGTACAGGTGTGAAAAACCTTCATGACAAAAAAATGTCACTAAGTGTGCTATAGTTGTAGCCCATTATTTGCTTATTCTCATGATGTGATTATTTTTTTGGAAACATAACGGAGATGATAGAAATCGCGAAAGTGCTGAACCTTTTTTCAGCATTGTTAAGCGTCATAGCAAAAGGACATATTATTATTTCCCATCGATCTCTATACGGTCTGTAGTGCTTTAGAACCATTTGACATGGGTAATAAAGTGTGCTCCATCTAATGGAACACTAACTGTGTTGATTGAACACATTTATTGACTCATAGCATGTGAGAAATGTGAAAATGTGATCGAAAATATACAACTTTTTCGTGAAAAATGGCCATTTGCCCACAAAAAGACATGTTTTTTTTTCACTTTAAAAGACATATTTGGATAGAGTGGAAAAAACTGGGTGTGGGTGTGTGGGTGTGGGTGTGGGTGGGTGTGGATGTGGGTGTGGGTGGGTGTGGGTGGGTGGGTGTGGGTGTGGGTGTGGGTGTGGGGCGTGGGTGTGGGTGGGTGTGGGTGTGGGTCGGGGTGTAGATGTGGGTCTAGATCTCTTATTCATCCATACCCACACCCACACCCACACCCCGACCCACACTTACACCCTCACACCCACACC